TTTTTTATTTTATTATTATACTACATATATATCACTTATTGTATTCATCGTAACTTCTGCCTAATATATCTTTATCTCTTGTCTGTTGCTGTTCCAATCTTTGTAAATCATTTCCGTCAATTCCAAGTCCTAACCGTTCAAGCGCTTTTTCACCATGATAACCATTAACTTCCTGATAAAGACGCGATCTTCTAATGGCTACATCTGGATCGAATGGAATTGATACAGTTTTGTGTAACACAGGAAGTCCCGCAACATTCCATTGAATAAGATCGCGAATAATTTTACTGCACTCGGCAGAGCCAATTATTAAAATAAATAACAGCTGTAAATAAAATAATTAACACGTCTTAACGTTAGTTACCTTTTATTTGTGAGTAGAACTAACGAAAAGAATGCAGAAGTTGGAAGCATTTTTAATGAAATTTACGAATTAAATGCCAATGAAATAAGGAGGCATCTGGATAAGAGAAATTGAATATATAACTAATAGATGTTCTAACTTTTTGAGTATGTATAAAATGAAAAAATGTAAATAAATGTAAATATATGTTAATGGTTTTTTCAAATATTCACAGTATGTAAGAAATTTCCTTGTTTCTGTAGGTAAAAAAAAAACAACAAAGATTAACAAAAATGTAGCTATTTTAAACACATTGTGTATTATGTCAATCTAGAACTATAACTTGTTTTTTTTTCTGAACTTACAGGTCAATAAATGTAGTAAACATTTACCTGTTTCTTTAATTAACACAAACTAACAAAAAATTCTTTACGTACCTTTAATGTAGTCCTCATTTTTCGTCCGCTGCGATTAGATGGGTTTTAATGCTACAGCAACTTATGTAAGACTAATTTCTTAACAAGGGAAAGTGTTTTATCTACATAAGAAGCCTCCCATAATAGCGTGTGTTAATTTATGTCACGACATTAGGTCAATTATAAACTAATAGGCGACTATTAAGACATAATTACAATTTTCTAATTTCAGATAATTACTTTTCTATTAATTTGGAAGTTACCTTTTTCCAATGAAGTTCATTTGCAAATATTTATTTATTTATTTATTATGTATTTGAAATTATTTATGTAACGAACTTATAGCCCAATACATTTCATAAAAAAAGTAACATGTGAGATATAAATATAAAAACAAAAAAGTTGTTTTTTATTGGAGCTTTTTTTCATATCCATGCATATGATTAAGATGATAATAAAAATACTCATAAAATAAGCAGGACAAAATTATACATATAGATTTATTTTAAATTTTAAATCATAAACTTTTCAATAATTATTTATAAATTTCGTAGTACTCCATCATAATTTTAATTTAATATTTTTATCGTCTCAATCGTGTTGCAAATTATACATATGGTCTGTTGACACATGTCTATTGTAATTACGAGAGAAGTTATTCCAGAAATCGCAACTTTCTCTTCTGACTAACGCAACGCGCACTTAACTTGAACTTATTCAGTTTCACCTTCAGTTTAATATCGCTTTGCGTAAAAGTTAAACGGGTAATATTAACATTATACCGAAAGATAGATACGATGAATTGGAAAATATTAGTTTTTGCTTTTGTAAGTTTCAATTAAAAGTGGGTTATTTTAAATGTGTAAAAAAATGTGTAATTTTTACTTTTACAGGTACAAACGTTCTTGTGTATGGCACAGGCATCACTCACACCCAGAGCTCCCAATTTTCAATATTTTGAAAGGTAACAAAAACTGATTTTTTGTCGTTTAAACTTAATTGCGTAAAGATATTTATAATTATTTACTCGCCGAAAAACATATCTCGGTCATTTTTATTTTATTTAAAATATTCAATAAACTTTTTATATTTTTTTCTCATAAAGAGAAGGCAGTCATGAGTGATTTATAGGCTACTTTTTTTCCCCTTAGGCGAAGGCTAGGGGTAAAAGCTATACATATTTATAATAGTTTGTCCGTACGTGCCGCTAAAGCTCTTCAACTTCGGCCTTGTGAGTTATATGTTATTATAGCCTTTTATCCCCCGTCTATGAAGAAGGTTTCGGTTCTTAGCTGCAGGGGTTGGTTTGAAAGATATGAGGGCTAAAAGACTATCACTCCAAAAGAATCCATATAGAAAGTAAAAGTCAGTAAAGATGTTGAGTTCCTAAGTCTGGTCAAAACTTTACAGAATGTTACAGAGTTTTTCTATATCCCCTACATCTACAGGGTTTGAGAATGTTTTAGATATTTTGCAGAGGGTACGAGAATATTCTCGAATGATAATTGATTTCTCTTGAACGAAATGAGGATAACTCGGCTTGTAATAAATTATAATGGATAGTTATTCACCATCATAAGGTTGTCAGTCCTAAGACTGGTTGGACACGTACCTTCACTCTTTCCTATCCTGAGCTAAACTTCGCATTCCCCTAAAACTATAACAATCCATATCCTTAACTTTTCGCGAACAGTAATCTAATCTAGGTCTACCTCTACCCCTCCTAACTCCTGTTTCTGCCTCTAATATGTCTCTGACTAGACCTTCATGCCTGAGAAGGTGTCTTACCAACCTAT